ATATAGGGTAGAAACCAAATATATATATATATATATATATTTGGTTTCTACCCTAAGAACCTGATTTGCTCGATCCTGCCGCTGCGTAGCGACATTTCTTCAATTGCCTTGAAGCGAGGTGGCTACTGTTTATCCCGAATTTTTTTTTGTTTTTGTCCCGATAGCCATGGTTGTGGACGAGATAGGACAATGTCAATGTAATTCGCGTTCAAACTATGCATTCATTGTACCTAGAAATCTCTCAGCAAAAAGAGTTCTGGATTTGCTTTCCTTTTACAATAGAATGCTCATTTTCCATATTCATGAACTGCGAATGCCACTACATCCCAGACATTATCCGATCGACACTGCAACACAATATGCTATAATGACGTAGTACGTGTACTGTTTTGTGTAACGTTATACTATCATTACATTTATTGCCGAATACAAATCACAGTTAAATCAATATAATATTTCTTTGCTTTTAGAAAAAAGAACGCTTATCTCAAAGTGATCTGCTGCATGTCAGTCTCATTGGCTTTTACACATCTCTAACCGATTCCTTCATGCCGTATAAAATAAATGCAATTGAAAGCTGTCTCATGCTTACCTCTTCCTACCCTCCGTAACGCACTAAACGTATTCTACTTCGTTGACAACGTCACAACTGACTGATTGATCGCGTACACCTGTACACTAACTACGAGATCAACTTCGTCTCTACAATTCTTTGCCAACGCGCCGTCATCTTTAATATTCCCCAAATATCCCCGCATCAAACAACAACTTCAATGTGGCTGAAAGGTAACAGCAAGGAGAAAGGCGCACGAAAACAGCCATCTCAAAGGGTTCGCGCAATGTTTATACTAACAAAGCTGTCAACAACATTTTTTCCTAGTCAATAAAGTTTCAAAATGCGCAAACGACGATAAAGTTACTGGCATCAAAGGTATTGTGGAACGCCTAAGTTAGCCAATCATTCTAGCAAGACAAACGGACGTTCACACTCCTCACGTGTCAAGATGAGACCAGCGCGGATGTAAAATCAGATGATATTAGGAAACGAACGACGAGCTTTCACAGTGCACATGAGTGGTCAAGCTACCATATTACTGGTGCTGCGATTGCGACTTGCTGCAGTATTGCTTTGACGCGGTTCAAGCGCAAGTTTTCGGCACATACAAATGCCAGACAAACACATAGACAAATACAAACCGAGTGATAAACCCACAGAAATGCAACAGACAACAGCAGATCCGCACGAAGATATGGTCGGAGGTCTGACGCTTTCCGCCGGTCATTTGCCAGCAAGATTCGGTTGAAAGCACGAAACTGGAACAGTGCGGATATAATGGACATAGAAAGACAGTTGCTCTGGCTAGTTAATAGCTACTACCCATTTCTAAAATGCGTATGTACACTACATTAGAACTGGTAACAGAATTGGCAAAACCTATCAATTGACAATCCACTTTTTTAGTAATTCCTTAGTCTCCAATAACCGAAAGCAGCAGTTGATTACAATTAGGGATTTATTTGAAAACCAATGCCCCTCACCTCTTCCTTTGATTTGACTAGTAGTAGTAAACTGCCATACGTGTCAAGGATTCTAATGGTTTCAGAGGCCTTCCGTTCAAGAGACCTTGAGCCAAACCGCCCCAGAAACCGTTCATTTATGTGCGCTTGTAGCTTCAGCAGCACACACGATTCCAGTCACAACAATTTACTTAATAATAATGATATAAAAAAGTTCATCTTCAACCTTAGAAGGAGAGAGTAAAACTCAACGATACAAGGAAGGTCCAAATAGATGAGTAGTGCGCAGTAAAGTCGACACAGCGGAGACACTGGGAATGCTTTCTATAAAGATTCAATGTACTCCACTCTGATCTTCGTAACGATTAGGTCGTTGCTGATGAAAATTTCGAAACACATTCTAACCATTCAGTGCTCTAAACTAAATATTAAATATTTGCGCATCAACGACATTCTCTTTACCCACCTGATATATTGCGCTGTGAGGCAGATCGAGACAAACGGCACAACAGAGAAGCTGTCCCAGGCGGGTCTCAAGTTTGTCGCTGGATCTCGACCCACCTATGGAGCCTGGTCCTCCAATCGGCACCATACCTCCCGTAGCTAGACGAGGCCGTTTCGTAGGAACCTGCTCAGCCATCTAAGCCACACAACTGGTCATTTTCGCACGAATTTCGAACAAATGATGTTGAACACCGTTACACGACCGAAACGATCGCACTCACAATGACACACACACACACGTAATTGAATTTGTTTATGTGTAAGTCCTTCGGACAAAACCTTTTCGTCAGCCTTCACGTAATTTCAAATCAGACTCCTGTTTTCCCTTTGCTTTCAATATGCCATCAGTTAACTATAATGATTATCGACAATAACCGTTCTTCCGGGATGCTGCTATGAATGACCACCATTAATACGACGATCGGCAGCAATATAACCACTTCTACTACTACAACAACGGCAAACAACGAACAAACGCTTTTTGGCGTTGTTGCCTATCCGGGGCCGCCCCACCACTTGAGTCCTTGACTCCGCACTGCACACTGTTGGGTCGCGAGCACACTGTTCGAACTTGGCCACTACAGCTATACTAGTGTATATATTTACACGAAGAAGCTACTGGCCCTACAGCTTCGTTCTCTTTTTCCCTTTTTCTCTCTCTCTTTCGCCCTCGGAGCCATTGGCAAGTGTAGCTCAGCGTTGCTCACTGCGTCCGCCGCAGTTGCTAATGGCTTAAGAACGATGATCGGCGGTCAGCTTCAGTAGTCGATAATGACAAGAACTCAAAGTCCAACAAACCCGTTTCGGGAAGGCGTCGCAGGGCGAACACCCGACTACAGGGTGAGGACGGACGCAGGACACGACACGAAACAAAGATAGGACAGTCGAACAAAACGAGTGATAGCCATAGGCGGAGCGTTCTCTAGTCCCGTAGCGGCCGTAGTAGAGCGCAGTCAGGCGCAAGCAAGATATCTACTACTAGTCTCGACATAGAGGCCCCTGGGAGAGACAAGGAGATGCCCGATGCCGACCGTGCTGCTACTGCTACTGCCTGATACCACTGCTAACACAGCCATCAGCTGGTCACCAAACAGCTGATGCAAAGGAACCACCAAGGATGACGTCACAAACGACGCCCAGAGGGTGAGGGAGATGCTGAGGGCGGGGCCTGAACAACTGGCTGAGCGCGTTTAAACGATGCGCGCTAACATTTGAAAAATCACGGACAAAAATTAGTCCATTTGTTTTAAGTGTCTAATAGAGATTTCGAGTTTTACGTACTGCCATTACTATTGCTAAGGGTTACGCTATATTGGTAGCTCCCACTACCATGAGACGAACCGGGTGTCTAAGTGCGGTTTCCAATCGAGGTCGCGTTGCAGGTCATTAAGTTAACTAGGCATACACGGAAGTTCCACGGTATTTATAAGTATTTAACTATCACAGAGAGACCCCGTAAATAAGTGTATTTAGCTTTTTAGACATAGTAGACATTAATTAGAAATAATAACAGAACACGAAATATGATAAGCAACGCTTGGTAGCTGAAAAAGTTTTTTACTGCTCAATAGAACGAGCTAAAGAAATTGGAAATCAGATTTTACAGAAAAATAAATGACAAAGCTATGGAAAAAAATACAGACTGTTATAAAAGCAACATGCCAACTTCGCCAGGAAGCAATAAGTAATGAGCAAATTTATAGTCTTTTTTTACTGTTGCTTGCGGGTATAAGGCAACCAAGGATTGACTCACATTTTCTGGTACTCTTTCATAGCCGAAACCATTAGCATCCCAAGGAATTCTAGTTAAGAAAAGTTGAAAATATAACTAGCTAAAGTGTATTATTATGGGATGATACTTGCAAATCTGACCGGAAAACTGAGAAATGGGGGGTATCACGTAAAAATAAAACTTCGAGCAGAAGCCTGTGTGAAAAATGTACTCGCTTGTGTTTAGAGCTGTTGCTTTAGGCAACCTAAAGTCTTTACAGAGCCAGTTCGCCCCTTGAGAAACGCTTGACACTCCAGTCATTTGTGCGTATTAACAACAAATTCCTAGAGAACTAATAATGCTTTCCTTACTTGATCTGATTAACTAACTTGACCCGAATGGCATCTAAAATATTATTGCTATATGCAAATGAGAAACACAAAGTTTGGATCAAAGCAATGTCTTCCTTCCAAATATTTACTGGCAGCAGTTTTCAAAAAATATTTTTTGTGGATTAGCGGTTACAGTATTACGTGTCCGTGCGGTACTGCAGTTTCTGCAAATAAAGAAAATGATTTAAACCTCTTTACTTTAATAAAGCTCATCTCCTTACCAAACGCAGGTTCTAAGATTTACGTGAATTTCCAAAGTTGCATCTTTTTTTAGTAAACAGAGTTTTAATCGTACAATCATACAATAAATCTAACAGTCGTACAATAAAGCATGATATTTAACTTGTATACCATGCACTTCAGAGCAGCTATTTATTAACGCTTTTTCAAGTTTAATGCTGCCGAAGCGCCAAGAAATTTCTTCTTGGTATATTCACTGCCTTTCTATAGCGCAAATCTTTAAAGCATGATTCAATTGTATCTATGCCCAGATTCGGACTTAAATAACTTGTGTCCTTTCAGTTGGTTAGTCCGTTACACAACGCGTTACCACTGTACCAGCTAGCTTGGAATTGATCTGTTTTGTCATCATAACATCAAAAGAATCAAAAAAGACGAAACGAACTTTTGGTTGGCAGTATAGCAACTCTGCAAAAAGTAGAACACGTTAAGGGGTTTCTCGCGAACCAGAACTTGTTAATGTTCGCAGCTTGAGTCATCACAGGTCTAACAAGTCACCCAGGTTCAAAGTCTGCTGTGCTGTTTTCGGAGCACACCAATGACTTGAAGGGTATTTAGATATATGATGATGAGTCACCTCTAGTGAATGCGTCTGTTCACGCGCCTAAACCTACGTAAAAGAGAAAGCTATCTTGTCAGTAGCATCTTCACGAACTCATTTAAGGTCTAACCTGGGCTCCAATTTCGAGTGTTGACACCACGAGTATTTTGTAGCGAAGTAGAAATGCCCAGATCTGTGAAGGCTGGATTCGAATCGGGCGGGCGCTATTACAAGCCGAATCTCGAATCAGAATTAAATAGTTCTCTTTAATTAAATGAATGCGGTGAAATTAAATGATTCAGCCACAAAATTAAAGGATTTCACAAGTACTACTAAGACTGGACACACTTAACCACTATGGCTTCGCTGCCGTGACCATTCACAACTGAAACATTTAAAAATGATGGCTTTGAAGCTACAGATGTCTTCTTGCGAGGTTATGACAAGTGATCATACTGAATTTGTCCAAGCAACTGTCTGCAATCATCAATTAATGTGCGGGGTGATAATTGAGAGAGAGACCCACATACGTTAACATAACATTTTCATTAACACCACTATGAACCTCTACCTATGAAATTGACAAAAAGGTACCAAAGTTTTTCTAATTTCTTACATTCGTCATGTTTAGGGAAAAGGCTACTATTCAATACCAGACAACAACCTTAATGGTGAGAATTTGGAACAATGCAAGTTATTAATAGTTAGTCGAAATGTAAGTTGAAATAGCAACAAGTTGAAATAGTGTGTTCAAAAACCTGGGTTCACACTCGCAATATTTGCAGTTAAAATGTATTTCCAGCAGTTATTTAGAAAATACCGTATTAAAATAGAGGCAACGATTACTAATAAACCAGGCTGAAAATAATACTAAACGTTCTGGACGGATCACATTCTTTTCGTTTTGCTGTATACTAGTTTAATGACTTTTTTCTGTAATAAAATACTCTTAAACATTTTGAAGCTTTCGTTTAGAGATTTCACGATTCGGTTATCCTCAAAATTGCGAAAACAGCGCAGTAAACTGCTCACTAGTGATTCCCATTCGACAATACATTACATTCGCTTAATACACATTATTTTCATAAAAGTTTCCTAAAAATGAAAAAAAAGTGTCAAGCATGTATGAAAATAGATGTTTAGAACATTCATAGACGCTTAGAAAATGTTGGTGCTATGGCTTTTGTCATGCAGTACTATATGGAGGCAAGCCCTGAGACCTTACATCTCAGCAAGGTTAGTTGTGTAAGATATTTTAACACGAATAGTTGAAACAGGCATTCGTTAAAAATAAGCCTAACAATGGCCAAGATGCTTACGGAAAAATAAAACGCCCAAACCGCAACTAAAAAGAGAGAATTTTATCCAGAGGCATTTTGACATGCAATCTATTGATATAAAAGTTGGCCGAAGTCAGCAACAATGCACGTGACACGTAAACATAACCGTCTATATCTGACGAACTATTAGTAAATAATATTATTACGTCACCAAAAAACTATTTTTATTTTTGGAGTACATCTGCATCGATTACATACGTACAAACTTTCTATTTTGGTTAGAAAAATTTTGATAACAAAAACTACAATTATTCCCCAACATCTAGCCATTTGAAGCACTGCTTTATAATAATACCGTACGCGAAACTCGAAACACTAACTGACTAGCTAAAAAATACACTGTGTACAGTTGTTTCAATACTATCGATATTTCTCTACATCAAATGTTTTTATAAGAAAAATTTTCCCGAGGCCAATTGAACGTGAGACAAAACTCTAGACTAGTACTTTAAGTATACTTGCAAATGCTCGTAACTTCATAGACTTTCAAGAGGTCCGAATTGAAAAATGTACAGAGAAAAAATAGTTCGATTTGTCATTTATGCCAACGACACAGCTGCTAAGTGCGCAGCTAATATAATTCTATATACTCCTAAAAACACAATTACCGTTCCTAGAACAATAACATAGAATAGGTTATTATTGTTTACTTTGATAGTAGTCCTGGTTTCTCCAAGTTGCCAAATAAAATCGCGAATTAAACTATTTCATGCCATGCCCCAAGATTTACATAAAGTGTGCGTTCAAAGAACCAATTACTGTTTGCGCATTTTCGTTTATAACGTTTTTATATATAAAAAAGAAGGATGATTATGAACATTACATAATATTGATTATAGAATACGATGAAACCATGAGTATAATAATATATCGTAAAACCTAAACTAATATGAAACAAGTATAAATCCTACTTCAAGAATTCTCTGCTAGTACTAGTTACATAAATTAGTAAATATGGACACAAAAGCTATGAAATTCCATGTCTAATAACACTTATGCATGAGGACCAATATTTACGGGTAAAGCAATATTTTTGTCCAGAGTATTCTAACCTTAAACAACACAACTCTTATACATTATGTCCATGAGCATCCACCAGTAACGCTCCAAAAAAAGGACGAATGGGTAACATAAAATACAATTGTCTTCTGTTTTATTTTGTACATGTATATACGCGTAAATGGCATTTCCCCTAAATAATAACCGTTATAGTTTCCATCATTATTATAGATAAATCAGTAAGTATAAATAAAACGGCGGTCCGCAACGATCTGAAAGGTTTTGAGTTAGGGCTAAGCAGCCTCTAATCTTTATTGCTCCATTTCAATGGACTTTGGAACTTATCAAGTCTACTAGGCGCGCATTTGGTGCGTAAACTGAATGCCCTTAGACGCATTCACGGTCTACCACAGTTGCGAGAAGAATTGTTGTTGCTGGAGCCATTTAAAACCAATGTTAAGAAAAAATACCGCCGAGTACTGACGCGATTCAACTTAATCGAGCCTTCTTTGATGCAGGTTCGCCTTCCTTTGCTACCGTACTGAGCTCCTCGGTGTCATCGAGCACAATGAGATCTGCAAGAATCAACCATGTATATGAAAAAACCAACCATACATAAGTAAGTTGACTTAATAAACCAGTTATTCATGGTGAAAAACTAACACCTTAAGATGGTTAGACTGTACGGCAGACTACCAAATTAATAAACACTAGATTTGTTGCTAACGCCAGATCTTATTACTACGTAAGCAGTAACCTTGTAAGATTACTCTTTACTGAAGAAAACCTACAGTATATTTGGAAGAACTTAGAATATAATTAATGCTTTTTTATAATCTGCACCAAAGGATAAAAACAAATATTTATTTTTTTATTTAATATAGTGTATTTAATACAGTATACTATAATAATATATAGTTTTTGCATGCACACCTTGGATGTGTTCATGATGAATCTAACACTAATTCTCTTATATTTACAGCTAATTTTCAACAATTTCTTTCTAAACTCATGAATGTCTTTTTAATAGCAATGTAAAGCGCCTGAAAAAATGATATGCGCTCCTATCGCTCCAATTTATTTAAGAAGGTTAAACGTTCCGTAGAATTCAAAGGCAAAAAGATTGGAAAACACTAATCGTTAGGGTTTATCTGGACAATCCAATCGATTATCGATACTCTCTTTCCAAACATAGCCGTCAATTTCTGCACCTAAATTCTGAGAGCGTCAGAAATTGATCTTTTGCCCAGCTTCCACTAATTTTAAAGTTTTTTAATCTAATATTGACAGTGAATCAGTTTTGCTTTGCTGAAGTCTTCCTTAAATTTTACGAATGCCACATACAAATGCAACGACATACACCATCAATTGTAAACAATTAAAATAGTCGTTCATCTTCGCGTGGAGTTTGTTTGGCCATTTATTCCGAACATATTTTATATGGCCTGCTTCGATATGTCTTTATTTTCGTCATTTTAGGATGTGAGCTTAATGTGTTGTAGTCTCACAGCGTTACGTTTGGCAACCTATAAGCAACAATTAAAACAAAGCATGGGTATTGAACAAACTGGAAGTGTCGGGCGCGCTTTTCACCCCCAATATACCAATCAAATAAAACAAATAAAAAAATTTTAAAAAATAAAAAAAATAACCAAAAAAAACGCTACAAACCATCATCATCGTTGATTACAGTGGCATCATCTCCACTGCCACCGTTATGTGATGAAGCACTTGGTTCATTGTCGTTTGCAGCGCCATTTTCATTTTTCTGCATATTTTCCTCTTTGGGTTTTGGCAGCTCGCCCTTTACCTCAAACTCTGCATCGTCGCTGAGTTTTTCTTCCGAATGCACAACGTTGACCACCTAAATTACAAGACACATAATCGCACAGAAGACAAAATCAATATAAATAGCGTATGTTCAATGGTGTATACTGTTCACATATCAGCTCGCTGAACATGAAGCTTTTGTAACGAATTTCTGAGTATACGGTCCATGTGTGAGTTTCCAGGGGCAACGAAAATACTTAGCAAGTTCAAAAAAAAATAAGGAAGTCAATGCGAAAACGCGCATAAATTTTGCATACCAGCTGGAAATTCTGGAGAAAATCATCGCACAGAAGTCGCGCGTCGTGGCCCATTCCTAAATCGGCCATAACTTTATCTTCAATATCGTCGGTCTCGCCATCTTCTGACGAAACAACAATCGCGCCCGTAAGTTCGTTGGCCACGTCAGGAGCAGCCATATTAAGCATGTCCTAAAAGATGAAGGGCATAAATATTTACTCGCGTAACATAATAATCATTTTAATTGGTAAATAATGAGTTTAAAAAAACGCCCTCCAAAAATATATTTATTCTTCTAGAAAACTATATTACACAATCTGCTAAAATCCAAGTCTTAGTCGGCATTGTCAATTTTCAGGAAATATATATATAAATAGGTATGGTTTCTTGGTATTAAGAGCATTGTACCTTAAGGAGGTTGTCTCGAAAAGCTTTTATTGTTGATGTTTTCGTGTTGGTGATCACATAAACCTCGTTTTTATCGGCACACACGTAACATTTCGGATTAGGCGGATCCATGACAGCTGGCTGGATGACCACACGGGAAACAGGGTTTGCACTTCGGTTCAGAAAAACTGCGCGACAGTCCATCTTCTTCCCCCTGTAGTGTCGAAAAAGTTTTCACACCTAAAGTTAAGATTGCATCCTAGTCATATAAACAAATTGAATTACATGCATTTTATCTTGCCACGTGACATCACCACATGAACTAGTTGCTACCGCTTCGTCCTGTTCGCGACAGCAGTTTTTTGACCTAGCATTTATTCAGATGCACGCTTTGCACTTATTAGCAATGACAATTCATAAACATGATTTAGAGAAAGAATTCTTAGTCTTAGAACCCGGATCCTAGTGATCCTCCAATATCCTAACTCGACGGCTTTGCTAGTCAAAACACGCAGTATAAAGTCCAAAATGTTATTTTAGTTTTACACATGAAGTAGACTTTTCCCACGACCTGAATTCTTTGATAGCATAGTTGTCTTCAACAGGCAAAACCAAGCCGCAAAAAATAAACAAAATAGTTGGGGCAATAAACATTTTCGAGATTGTTGTTACCAGAGCACACAAACTTTACGTGATTCTTTAAATAATAGGTAACATAAAAGTATAATATAGTGTTTGTAATTCAATTTTCACTAAGTATTTCAAACTCTCTATAAGCAGTGATTATATAGTTTGTGACATAATACGCAATATAAAAATACCTCAAAATTTTAAGCGCTTGCAGCACAATGAAGCCGGCGATAACAGCGTTTGTTGTTGCAATAGCGGGTATGATGTTTCCAGCCATAGACTTCACCTCGAACTGGCTTTTAGCCTCCATACCAAAACAGCGCATTCGGACGTTAGCGCAAGCCGTGACGAAGTCCAGAGCAACGTCATCATCCTTATCCCACGTTAAGTAGTCTCCATCGGGCAATGCTGCAAGTCTGGAAATTAATCACGAAAATCTATGTAAAATGGGTGCAAACCTATTTTCAAAAGGCGGTGACGAGATGAAACAAAACTAAACAATCACATATATATCTATATATATATATATATATACACATACCTTTCTTTAAGTTGAGTTACACTGTCCCTAAAATTAGCAGCACACTCTTCTTCGGACCAAACCCTCTGGTCACGCATGCCACTTGGCATTGTCCAACTCTCTAGGGCTTCCTTTGGAAATTTACAAGCCTCGGGTTCTCTTCGTTTCTTCCACAAGTTGGCCATGTTTCTTAAATAAACAATGTCATCATGGAAAAGCTTATCAAACAGGCTAGCCGGTTCATAACCGCGTTCCGCAGCCCATTGCCGTGTAGATACTCGTTCAACGTTGCCGAACCCTGTGTCACTCTTCATTAGATTGATTTCATCAAGTGTCCCTCCTAATTCTGGATCCATCATGTCGGGTGATACCTGGATACAAATCAAGGCAAATAATTACAGTCTTTTATAACCCTAATTAAATCCACAGTGCCCTGGAGAGCTATGGATGGCCACAAGATTCTGAACCCTAACGTGTTTTTCATTATATGTTGGTACAACCAAATAAGTTACCTCTTCATCGGCGTCTTGTAACCCGAACAACTGATTGAACAAATGTTTAGCCCAGACAATACAGTGGATCGGTTCCGATGGAGTATTTCGGATAGTGCAGCCAGCAAACGTCCGCTGTGCAGCTTTTGGCTTGCATTCGTAGCATTCAGAGACACCTTTCAAAATAGGTTCGACCTATGAAGAAAGGAAATTGCATTTCAATGTTATCTCCTTAAACACACACAAACAACTTTAGCCTCACTCCAAAAAAATCCCGGCAAATAAATAACGCTAAATTTTCAGCTGTTATAATCATTGTTGCTATATCAAAACACGGTATATCCACTCAGATAATGCAGACGGTTTAATGGACCGTGCTTGGATAGAAACACCTACCAAGATTACAAACTTCTTTTTGCCCATAATCGACGGTATACGTTATTGCCAGTTTTCACATGCAGCTTCTGAAAAATCCGAGGAAAATTCCCATGAAGCCTATTGGAAGCTCTTGATAAAATTTGGATTTAAATAACTCAAAATTTATCAAAATGGTTCAAAAAGCCATTCTTATATGTATAGCGGATTGTCTATATACAAATTAAAGATCGTTTTGAAGGGCAGAATATTGAGCGTCAATTTGGTCGTCTAGGTAAGCTCTAACGAATAGACTTGTAAGATCTCCTGCGCCTTCTTAGACTGTTCCACCTTTTTGAGCTCTCAGCCAAAAATTTAATACGCTGCAATTTTTTTTGTATGTAACGTATTAAGCAAAGCTTTGACAAGCCTACACATATTAGTATCGCTTGACGCACGGCTTCTAGGGAAAGTTTTGTGGATTAAAGAATAAATATCTGGAAAATGACTCGTTAATGGTTCAGGTGCTAATTTGAGGCCTTAATCGGTGTGCCAAATGTTATATTACACAAACATGACCGTCAAGAATGACGCTGCTAGTACATGCCAAACATTGTGTTGAGAACCATATTTAGATGCCTCACTTTATATTAAATTCAAACACAGAAAGGCTTCACATATCAGACACTAATTTTTAGAAACTTTGTTCAACAACTTACGATCCTTCAACTGACTTCAACTTAGTAGCTGAACAACATGTGACTAGCTGGACCACAACTGCAAATAGTTGATAGTTGGTATTCACTATTCTATAATGCTTTATGAAGGAGAAGTAAAATCTCTGCCAGCTTTCAAGAGTTCGCTCTAGTGTAGAAGACTGCAAAAAATTTCGTTTGAGCTAATGTAAACTGTTGTGATAACTGTAATAGAAAACTATCTGCATCACAGACTAGTACGTCAAGTCTTTTTCTGAACATTTTATAAAAAGTCGAAAAGGCCATACCTGTCCGAGGTAGCCCTGTGTACCACTTTCAACGAGCGGAACATCGGCTGCCAAACAAAGGCGATTCACATGGTTACGAGCCTGCCGATTATCAAGCGCATTGAGTACGATGTGAAACCGACGGAAGAAATCTCTACCATATTCCTGCCTATAATACGCGGAGTAATAGAACTGCTGTTAGCACGATTGAAATTTGCAATCTACAGCATTATTCCATTCCTTCGATAAACACGACATAAAATTAATTGAACTGGTAGTTAAAGCATACAAATATTTTTTTAGTACATTTCCAATAATGATATTTTAGGCTATCGGACATAATTTTCCTTATGAGCTGTCGATATATGCGTATTTCTTAAATCTTTGACTAATGGATGTGAGGTTCAGATGGTTATCTCAATTCCAGCCTTATTGCTTGTGTTTTTTTTTCAGGAGAAAACGTACTTGATAACGGTGTCATGCAGGGCTGTGATATTTGCCTCCGGACACAATGCTAACACGCTTTCCTTAGCTACAAGAGCCTTTGACTTGCCGACATGTTCCTTTCGAAATAGAAACTGACGATTTAAGTTGCTGAAATCGATCGTATCGAGATCAATCTGAAATAGGAGTACGCAACCAAATGAAGCTACAAAAATTCAGTGAATCGCTGAATTACTGTTAAATTATTTTCGAACACACTGGATTACATATTCACTAGATTGGATATGTATGAATTTCTAGTGAAATTCGCAAGTTTCGATATTGCTGAATTCTATGGTATAGCATATAATAGTGACATGACATTCGAAACTTGACTCGTGCTGGATCAACTAAGTACAACGACACGCAACTAAGTAGCAGTAATTTAAGCTTGAGTAACCGCGTCACATATATAATTCGGTTTAAGTGAAATTTGGAAACTCGATCTCTGAAAGTGTAGAACTGAACTTCATACATACACAAACTTCACGAAATAATCAATAACAGAATGGTTAATTCATAGTGTCTTACACGTGGGGTACAAGGACACAAAGGACCCAAGTGTCAGTAAAAATAATCTATAGTTCATATCTTGATAATTTAAGTTCCCCTCCTGCATGTTTAGAAAAACAAAAGAAAATTTATCAGCTCACCACATGGATGTCCCGAAATCCAGTTAGAACAAGATTCTTTAAGAGTTCGCAGCCAATGCCACCAGCCCCCACGACAAGAACTTTGGCCTCGGCAGGGGTAACCATTTTGTTTATCTGTGAGAGTCTACCACAGAGTCACTTCACTCGCCTAGTTGTCATAACAATATCTTCATATTAAAATCGTTATTAGTAATTAGCTGAACGCAGTACGCAATATGTTTTACCACCAATTTTTTGGCCAGTTCGTTAGTTGTTAAAACACTCGAAATGAAATAACATAACAGATTGGTAATAATATTTTGACTCTTTTGAATCGATAATCATGAAACGAAATTGACCGATTGACGGGTAGCTTCTCATCTTCATAAGACCAATTTGCACTACACACCGCGCATCGACTATCCTTCGGTAACTATCAAGCCGCGTAGTTATTTCTCTTTGCTATCTTGATTTCGAAAGGTTTCGTACGAAGTTGAAGTTATAGTTACTCCCATAGCCAGATGTTAATCTCCGCTGCGTTTATATTTGTATCGTGCTTTGCATTGATATTTTGGTTATTCTGGTTGCAATTATCCAGCCGGATCGAATTTCCTAAGGCAAAGGTGTCAGTGTTAGCTATAGAACTCTTATAATAGTTTTCGTATATACGAAAGAGAGAGAAATAATAAAACTTTTGAAGCTATCAAAAACGGCTTCCGACGCACAAAATTTTTGCTCGGTAAGTACCTCAACTGACCGTCACTAAACTCCCGTGTCAAAAATATGTGCAGTGAGAAGTTATTATAATGTACATATTTACAGTTTTTACGAGGTCATAAAAACTGTATGCCGGCCTTATTCTGTCGGGTGCTAAAACCAGTATTGAGCCTCTCACTAATTAATTAATTTAATAACAATTATCAAAATAGCTGTCTAGTTCTTTGTTTTCATTGTAACCACCCCATCGTTGACTGCTATTTTTCTACTACTTTGTCAGATACTATACGGTCAACACAAACGGCCAAAATCGACAAACTGTTTAGGGTAATTTGGAACTGTTTACTCATAAATTATATGTCACATCGGTAAGTCAATTTAGTTTTTTTTATTAGCCGCAGCTATTTTTGCCCGAACCGACGAAACTCACTCTCTATCGTGCACTGTACCGACGGATGGCAGATTTATCTTCCTAACGAAACGTGGGTTCGGTGTATAAAAAAGTTCTCTTTAGATGGGGTATTTTTCCACAGCCAAAACGCTAAAGTCCTGCCACTGCTAAGCGTAGGACGCTACTCCTAAGTTGACACCGCGGAGCTTTGTCTCGCACCCACAGCAGCACTACTATCCGAGTGCAATTGATGATCCGGCACGAATCGAACGTTCTGCTAGTTTTCTAGTCTGCTTTCGTTTTTCTCTTCTCAAGTTCAGAGGTAGACTTCCAGACGCAGTGCGCTCTGCATATAGATAGAGCCGCTTATGACCGCCGTTAATTCGCAATCCCCGCCAGCTAACGAGCGTTCACAACATTATTCCCACTCTACTGTCGCCTGCTGTTAAAAAGGCGCCAAAAATACACGTCACTAGAAAATTGTCCCGATTTGGGTTCCAGAACCGACTGTTTTAGTCGAGCGTGTCCTTGGAATGAACCTTAGGTAAACTGCATAGGACTGCATGCGCGTTGTTTCGAAACGAAGCCTAACACGAAAATGGCCTCTGATGTGTGAAATATTTGTTAAGTCAGTGATAATTTGTCGCCAGATTTACGTCGTTTTTTCTGAACGCGTCTATCGGAAAATTTCGTGAGGGCTCCTGTTAAGCGTCGAAACGTAAGTGTTCGATTAGCATCAGCTGGGTCATGCTCTCGGCGAAAAATCTTCGGAGCAATGCTTGCGACAGGCGAGGCAGAAATTCGGAAATTATTTCGAATCACTTAATTTCGAATAACGCAGGAAGAGAACAACTCGTGATTGTGTTGACAGTTCGAACAATCTGTTGTTTTTGAAGAGTGACTAACGTCCTTCAGATTAGATATTATTTCTTGAATCTAAAAATGTTTTTTTTTTACCTAATGCTTTTTTTAATTCTGAACAGTTAACATTTTGAGGCAAGCAGGCAGGATAGTTTAGGGTGTTCATTTAAACTTTGCCTATTTCGCAAGTTTGAGCAATTCGCACTATTCACAGTCACCATGAAACTTTGCTTGATGATGTATTCAAATAGACATAGATCCATTATAACCTATATACTGTGAAAGATGTAATGCAACTAGACATTTTAGGTAAGCCTTGACTTGCCCGCTACAGAATATAAGTTTGATTTATTAATGTTTATTAATAATGTAACTAACTACAAATCTAGGCTGGTTGTCGTGTTGTGGGCGTTATTTTTGTTCCACGAGGTGCACATAGTTTCTGATAAAACCATGGAGAGCATGGCCTTTAAATAAATATTTATGTAAATGCTTTGCGTAAACGTTTAGTGGTAAATAATATATGATAATAAAATAATAATATATGATCATATATATTTAAATATCTTTTTTTCATCTCTTACATTTTTACAGTAAGTAACATACAGTAAATTATTAGATTTTAATCGAAAGGGAAGTTATCATTAAATTTTCATAATGTGCCCGATTTCCATCGCATTTGTTGCGTAGTTAAACTACTGATTATCTAATAGCTGCGTGGTTTTCCCGTCGCGACCGAGCTCTTCTGTTTTTCATGAGGGAACTTTATGTAACGCAAGGCATTTGTTTGTTGCAAGAGCTTTTCTGTCAGTCTGGCGAATTCGCATCCTCATACTTAGCTACAAGGTATCTCATAGGTTTTGTTCCCCGAATGGTGCAACGGTAACATATGCGCTTAACTTAAGGATAACTGGTAATGATAGTCTGGGTTCGGGTTCGGGCGTATACCCACTTCGTTTTGTTCGGGGAGCCAGCCCTATGTAGCAATGGCTAACTGCTTATGTACAGGACGTAAAACTCAGACTTTTGGGTACTCTTCTATATTTTCCATCTTGGACATTCGTGGCCGGTGTATGTAAGTGTTTCCTCTGCAGCAGAACTGTTGAAATTCATAAAACTCCGGTGGCAAGCAATCAACGAATTCGGATTTGAAATAAAACAACATTTTTTACAACGACTTCTTATGGCGTAAAAGTGCAATCATTTGAACGAAAACAGCAATATTTGCTTAATTTCAAATTCATTGTACTAGAGTTGTTAGGCCCAGTCCTTTTCGTTTTTTTGTCCACATCACTTACCTTAGCTTAGGCACGTAGATGACACTTGAACGAGGTCTGCGTACTACAAAAATTTCATTATAAACGCTCAACGGCTACAACATAATTCAGTTCGAAATGACTTAACCTTTAGGTAGATTCCCAAATATAACAACTCAGTCACCAACTTAATCAACAGTCATTAACAGTATCCCAACGTTAGTCAACTGCGGCATAGTTCTTTAGGGATATAGTCTTAAGGTGTACAGTTGAGACAAAGTTCTTCGTCCAGCCTCTAGTCCCACTACAACTGAATTCTTATCAACAATTGACTGGTGGCAAATGATACATAGTTATTTACGACTTATTCAGATTATGCTAAAAAATAGGTAGAAGTATCAACGATTGATGTTATTTAAAGAAAGCGGAAAAGAACATGACCTTTCAGTATATTATTTACATCATTTGTAGGACAGAGATTACTCAAATATACAGGAATGTCTCGAGAAACTATTTGTAGGAACATCTAACTCGAATACAGAGGCATGTTCTACTTGAGAAAATAGTTTATGTAACTAATTGGTTCACATATTTGTCACATAAATGCCTAGGTACGTATTATATAGGACGTTTCGAACTTGAGGTTTGGTGCCTTGATGATAAAAAAAAGTAATAAAGCGGTGTCTATATTGTAGTCTAGGTGCACTACTGTATCGTTTTGTCCCTGAAAATTAAAATTTGAAAAAAGGAAACTTACTAAATGTCACGTAGGGAAATGCGTGACTGTGAGAAGTATCGGCTTGGTTGCATGTGCTTATAGGGGTGAGTCTCCTTTTTCGTAGCGCCCGCTTTAAGTAGTCGCTTGAGACAGGTTTTTAGAGATATCTGATATTCCCAACAGATTAAGATTAGTCTGACTGTAGACTGGACTGTAGACAATGAAAATTCAGATTATTATATATAACTATAAAAGGATCCAACCTGCTGTATCGGGCGATCGGAGTAGTAACGGCTATGCTTAAGCTAATTGAATTGCCCCCATATCTATTCTTCAATTAGGCATAAACAACAGCGTCAAAACTACTGAATCATTTGACCTTATAGTATGAAGTAGGATCGCAAAGGTTGTCTCGGAAATATCCGATAGTTTCGAATATATGCGTCACCCGTTTCGTCGGTTAACCGCAAGTCTGAGTTATGATTAATAGCTTACGATATAATCGGTTTCGCTAAAGTATTGAATATTTTTTGGGCTCTACGAAGATACTCAATGTGCCAAAAGAATTTTACGTTATTTACTATTCCTGAGAGTTGTTTCACCATTTCGCTAGTCTCATCGGGATTGTGTCAAATAAATGATCAATATTTTAACTTTAGGCAAATAGTCTTAGGTCCCCAGGTATACCTGAAAGTTTAGAACGATTTTATTTTAAAATTGAAGAATCAAACATGATTAATATCGTATGCTTATTACCTGATTCATTACTAACACAATACAACAAAAAATGAACTAAGAATAAGTCTTAAACGAAACGTCAAACTCTTTTTTGCACGCTGGTTCTTTATTTCGTTAATAGAAACAATACTTCCGACAGAATTACATGATACCTTAAGCGATACCTGCTAAGTCACTTTTCCACAAATATAAACTTTTAGCGATAAAATGACATATCTACGCTCCACAATCCTCCATAAGAAAATGGTTTATTTATTAGGTTTTATCACCCTTTAAAGGACTGACTTTGAATTTTAGAATATACTGTGCATGTCATAATAAACATTTCCTTACAGATGACTGAGTTTGGCATGCGTTCGTTCACTGTTCAGGGTCAGAGGAAAAATTCGACTCTGTATGTTCATCCAGAAGGTCCCTACAAGCTCCAGCCGAATCAAGAGTTGCAGTATGGCAAATTTCTCATGGAGAAGGTAACTGCAGTATGTAGAAGCTAGGGCTATGGAATGTTTTAATTGAATTTATATTCGATGGCTCATATCTAAACTATTTAATTTGTCCTAGAGTTTCGCGCCTAGGAGACCAGTGGCAGATGTAATCAATGAAAGCTAAATCGTTTGTGCTTAAGCCGATTTTTTTCATTCATGCCTAAACCCTTATCTCATCGTACTTCTCTATAACAGAACGCAGTTCACCGGACTCACGGAGGTGCTGTGCATATCTATACCCACTGTTACACGTTTCGGAAAAAATGTCCCGCTAGAGCTGTCTTCACTGCAGATAATGTAGTTGTGAAAAATGGCAACGAACCCCACAATCACGAGCCGGTCGAGGATGAAGTTGATCAGTTTCGTTTGCTTATGGAACTCCGAAAGGCACAGCAAATATGTAATGGGTAAGCTCCTGGCTAGACTTATCGAGTATACGAACACGTACCAAGCTGTTAGACATTTTAGTTAGGTAGGAGACTTTCTTACGAGATAGCTAATAGTAGTATCCAACTAAACTCTCCTTTTATTTGATAACTGTGGCATAATTTATTTGTTGTTCGTTATATATCAGCGGCCTATTTAGAGTCGAGCAACTTTCTGAGCACCCTGCATATGAGAGATGATAGTACTCGGCCGTATTTTTTCTCCTAACAAACTTGCATCTTATTACTGTTATTACTATTAATGACCAACTATTCGTCTGAAACTAAAAGAAACCAGGAGATTGTGTACAAATGTGAGCTGTGCTCTAAGATGTTCAGCCACAAAAAAACTTTGCTAGCACATTATCGGTCAGCACATCGTGTGGAGCCCAGTAATGCCGACGGCACCCAGCAGAACTTCAAATGTGTCCATTGCGACAACGCTGTATTCGCGACATTAACCCGACTCCGCTCTCATTACGTCGACACTCATCAGTTCAACCCAGAGACGCAGGTGAATTTGCAAGTAGTTACTAACGTATGTTAAGTTCAACTCGTCGATCAATGCATTTCTAGACAGCTACCAGACATTTAAAAAAATGTTAACTATATACCTAAGTTTAAATCAGTAATCTGAACTTATACTTAAACTGCACTCAACTATTGATCGGTCGAATAAATACAGCATTGCGTGCCTAAAACGCGTCTATCGATGTGTTGATCTTAGGAGTTAGAGTTTCCCACGTTGGCTGAATTCGAAAATTGGCGTCGTCACATGGAATCGGAAACTGGACTACGGATGCGTCGCCGATGGGGTAGCCGCAAAAGGAAAGATGGCAGCGTCCGATTTCGATTCTCCTGTTCCCGAAATGATCCATTGCGTAAGGTAAGGCGATAGAGAAGCTGGCAGTGCGTGCAAGCATATGATATTTTAAACTGGTATATAGGCGTATATGCACAACTTAGAAGTTACGTTTCTTTCTCTTTTCTCTAAAAAATTTTGTCCAAATGGATATGGATAAATGGGAAGCCAAGTCTCATTAGCCTCCGTAAATTGACCGAGAACACTTATTTTATTCTTTGAACACATTTTCTGATCTCGTCTATTTGTTTTCGTCGCACTGCTCGCAGGGAATAATTCGCGTCAATTTTGCGTGGTGTCCGGCAGAAATGAAGGTAGTTAAAGATGGCGGCTTGAACAGTAGAGTCAAGGTGGAGTGGAATTCATCGCATTACGGACACGATCTCGATCATCTCACGTTGCTAGCCGATACCACTCAGGAACAGGAAGTTGTCGAAAGAGCGGAGGTCGAAGAAATAACTGAAGAACAACCTATGGAAGAGGTAAATTAATTTTGAGAGCTTACATGTAGTCGTATTTAAGCATGAATATGTTAGTGCGAAAAGACATTGCCCAGCGTATGCAGAAAAGAAGAGGACGGATATTTAATATAAGTTGTGAGGGTGTATTCGTAAAGCGTGGAAAAGAGAAAAAAAATTATTACTTTTTAACATTTCTTTTGCAGGACCAAGGTGTTACAACCGTCATGCAAATGGTGCCTGAGGAGGCCATTGGCACTGAGGACTCGGCAATTCTTTTACAGGACGATACTCAACCCGAACCCACCGCTATAGAGCACGTTACTGGCGAGGATAGCCTGATTGAAGAAGCGGAGGAGACACGTCAACTTATAGAAGACCCGAACACTTGTGAAGCTCCAGTGTTAGAGCCAAAACTACAGCGGGCTGTATCCTCGATGTGCGCGCAGGTTGGCATAACGCAGACGGCCGTAAGACAAGGCGGTACTCTCCGTGGGGACCAGCAGGTTGAAGCGGTATCTAAGATGAATGACCTTTTGCAGCTTATGGTTAATGTTCAACTGAAAAGTGCTGACTACGAACAGGTATGTGCAATTTTAAGCAAAGACTGCAATCTTAGCTCAAGCTAGTGACAACACCGTGACAAGAAGATGATAAGTCTTTTAGATCTGAGACAACTTTCAAGTAACGAACGGTTGCATAGGCCGTGTTTCGTGCATGTCTTGATTTAGAGTACCTAACCTCTAAAACTATTTCTGTTTAATAACTTAGTTTTGAACTTACTGACCCACCACACTAGTATGAGTAACCTGCATTTGGATAGAACTTAATGTATAACAATTGCAGAGGCACACGTTACTATTCCTACCAAACACATTACTACGTAAACGAATGTTTGGTGCAAACATCGTGCAGAACATCTTTTAACAGTTTTATATCGCTTGCTGCATTCTTTCTCTGTCAATTTATAAATCTATTTAAGGTACACAAACTTATGGATGCTATCTTAATAGTTTATAAGCGACGCCTGCACCAACAAGAGACCGAGCACCAAGGCGAGGCTATCCAAACCAACGGTACGTCCACATCGTCGTAAATTGTTTTTATTACATTACTTTCAGCTACGATATGTAAAGTCATGAATATACACAATTTTCACACAGTTACGCTTAATTTTGCCTGCGCGTTGCTAACACTTTTTAGCATCAATATTTTGTTTGGTATTTGTGAATTTAACTTTTGCCTTTGCCTCCTGAAACGTAAAGCAGGTAAAAACGTTCACTAAAAATCAATATTTGTTTGATACGAAATTTTTTATAGAGCACCAGCAAGTCATACAATTGGAGGACGTTGAAGGAGGACAGCTGATCGTCATTGAAGATGCTGTAAGTACAAATTTACAAGATGAAAAATGTGGTGAAAAACCATAATGAGGCCTTTTCATGTGAGAATAACCCATTTACGCCTCCAAGACATCCCAAACATTTAAGATTTGATGACTGTTAAGCACTGTACTAGTGTTATAATAGCTAATGTGCAGGTACCAATTTTTGTTTAGGACGTTCAGCAGCTGTATGCTGACCATAGTTATTCAACTCAAGATGGTGAAACGACTGTGATTGAAACGGAAAATGGTGTTGCCGAGAGCATCCTGGAGGGCGGACCGGTTCATTGGGAGATTCGTGAGGTTGAGTGTGTGAAGAGTATGGCGCCGACAACGACGATCGTAACGCGGCAAAGAGCCTCCCTCCACCACCAATAAAGACCGGAAGCCGAAAGCAACGAAATGAATTTGGAGTCAAACTGCAAGCGCTGAAATTACTTTAACCCCTTAAACGCTTCTCATATTGTGTCTGTGTTTTAGGTCATGAACTACTTTTCATTTGAAAATACATTGAGTGGAAGCAAACATTTTTAAATAAAATAAATTGATGTCAGTAAGCCACTGAAAGAGGACGCAGAATGGAGTCTCTCTGACAAACTCATAATGAAATAGTACTATAATAACTGGGCAATAATTGACATCGTCAATGGAAAGCGGTGAAGGCTTCAATTGGATGAAATTTGTGGTGCAACAAGTGATCCAATGTGTACCCATCGTAATAATGACATTTGATTTTATTCATTTGCTACAATTCGTTGTTATAACTATTCAGACTTACCAAGCAACCACAAAATCTTCTTTAATTGTGTTATGTTCCAATGAGCTTCACTGTCAACGCTTGATATTAATTTTATAATAAATATACAATATTTTCTTGTTTACCGATAGAATGCAGATCAAATTTGTGCCAACCAGATATTTAACAGCTTACCTACGCTACCATTCAGCTTTGTCAATCTGGTGGCATTGGCCTTTACTGCGACAATTTAATATAATTATTATGTTATATGATTTTTGTCAGACGTATATATTATAACACGGAAGCGTTGTTTACGTGAATCTAACATGTATGTTACGACCAATCAAAAACGAAAGTGCATAAGGTGATACACAAATACATGTACATAATAATATACTAAATGAGAAATATAAGGAGAAAAGATTATATTGAGAAAATTCAAACGGTTTTTTGTTGCACCAGCTTGTTCACATTCATCCACATCAGAAACTACCTTTCTATTGTGAAATATTTCGTTGTGACAATGTCTTTTGGGACCACAGTCTTACATAAGACACTGATTTGCAAACTCTCTAACAGAACTGGTGTGTTAACGTACTTTATATGGAGCATAAAAAACAACTTTGTTAACTAACGCAAAAGTACGTCGAACAAAGTCCTTGTATTACTTGTAACCGATTTGGGAAAATTTCTCATTTTATAAGTCGGTCGACTCTCACCTAGCTTTATGACCGTAACACTCGTTCTACTGACTCATCCCTAACAGGCAATTTGGGAATCCGGTCATGGCTATAATCGTGAGTACTGACTGCCAGCAAATTTAAAATATTAGAAGAAACATTACTTTTAACACGTAAAAGACAGACACTGATTAATCAAAACACTACAATGCAATTGTATCCCATGAAATTTACTCTATTAATTAATTTACACATTTACGCGTTCATGAACGTCCGCTGGAACACTCGTAGGAAAGTACAAGTGAGCTTGCAATAATCGAAAAATTCGAAATTTCGCGGGTTTAACAGCAAACGGCACGTAGCTCTCGGAGAAAGCATTTGTACCGCCGTCGCCTGTCCGACGCCTCAACAGAGATCATCAGCTACCATAGAGAAGATACAGAAGCTGTTTATTGTTTGCCTAGACTTCGCGTCGCTGATTGGTTTGTATGTTGACGAACAATCGCTAGCCAGTAGCGTCGTCGCCTCCGCTCCAGGCTGTGCTGAAGTTTCGCAGTAGGGATACAATCACGTTGGGACAACGTAGTTCGTTGTGGTCTCGTCCATCGAGCAACTGGTTTAGGCGGTGAGAGTGATTTACAAGGCTGCGATCTATTATACATTATGTCGCGAAGCTCTCGCGGCCCACCAAATATCCACGGGATGGTGTCCCTAAAAGTGGACAACCTTACCTACCGCACGACAATTGAGGATCTTAAACGTGTCTTCAGGTGAGTAGTGAATAACAGCCTTTCAACAGCGGAAATTCTGGGTTGCTGGAAGCTTGATGTTCAGAAGCTACGAGCTTCTAGTGCGTTACGCATGACGTGCCGTAAGAATTAATAATCCGGCGGGTTAAATTATAGAAAACCCCGTGCTAAAGTTTATGGAAATTCTGTAAGGTTCAAATATACGAGGGGAATAAAGTAAGGTACGATTATTAATAAGTAATGCGTTAGTCTAAGGAATTAAGGATAAGTATATCTTTACGAGTCGCCATTTGTTGCAAAAATTTGTTTTGTTTTTGGATTTTTTGTACGCCTAGGAAATATGGCGATGTCGGTGATGTCTACATTCCGCGCAATCCTCGAAACAACGAATCTCGGGGCTTTGCTTTCGTTAGGTTCTACAGCCGACGTGATGCTGAAGAAGCCATGGATTGTCTTGATGGGTACAGGTGGGCCAGGTTATCATTTGAAACGACCACTGTGGTGTTGCCATTTACTCTTACGTTGTTATTTACTGCCTGTACAGTACTGCACTGCACGTCAATACTATATAATATAATAGTGACTTACTACATATCGTAGATTTAAGAATACCACAACATCGTCAATTCGCTCGACCACGTAAGATGCAAGAACTCAATATGTTTGAGCTTAGACGAAAATGTCTAGTGTGCGTTTCAATAGTAATTTGGATTAAATTCTTTTAGTAAAGACACAATTTCTTACTTTCTAAAATTATTATTATAAATATTTGAATAAGTAAAAGTATCTGTTCTCAGACTCGACGGCCGTGAGCTCCGTATTGCAATGGCCAAATATGCACGCCCCGGTGGCAGGGGTGGTCGCGAAAGGTCGCGTTCCAGAGATCGGCATCGTCGACGCAGCAGAACACGCTCCCGCTCTCGAGACAGGTATGATTATTTAAGGACACCCTAGATGTGGCTTTACCAGTTGTTACAGTAACATCTTGGGTTGGGTACCAACCTTAGATAACTTCAGTTCTTGAGGTAGATTTGATTAATTATTTTCACTTTCGAAATGGCTTCCTCTACAATATCACTTTATCGTGCAGGCACCACTGACTGGCCTAAGTGTGAACTCAACCTGAATCTGTGAATCTTAATGATTCTATTACCTTTAAATTAGTGCTATTTCAAAATAGTAACATATATATGCTTATCCATCGAGAGTATAACTTTATACATAGTGGTTTGTAACTGGAGAGCTATTGTAGTAAAATACGAAAAAAATATACCGGTACAGTTTACAATTTTATCTATAGATTACTTCTCGGTCCTGCATGACCGCAGTTATACGTCATAAGCCATTATACTTACATGTGAATATTCCAACCTCTGCTGGTATAGTAGACATGCTTCAGATGGTTGGCTACCACCAGTAAGTGACGGATGTCAGCGTCCAGTTTCAACCCTAAACCACCTTACGCGTTCTCAATAGGTTCAATAAGTTAAATACGCTGCCATTTTCCTATCATGGACGCATTACATACCCAATCTAATTGCACTTTTCTGTTTAATCTGTGTTCGTGTGTGTGCAGACGGTCTCGCTCCCGTTCGCATAGGCGTCGATCGCGCTCAGATTCTAGATCGAGGCGGTCCACGTCAAAGGACGACGACCGCCATGATCGGAAGTCTCGCTCTAGGGACAGAGACGCGTCTATTGACCGAGATCGTGACAATGACCGTGACCGTTCTAGGGAACGATCCAGGGATCGCGATGATTCACGGGACAGGGATA